ACTTAAAAAAAGGTAAAAAAAAAATGTGTATGGTTGTGTGGGAGTGGGGGGGATACGACTGTACTAGCTGTAGCACTTCCTGCAGGAACATTTCTTTACTTTAASCTCGTCCAATGAAACCGACAGAGTAAATGTTCACAAAACTGCTTTTCTTTCTCAAACCGTCGCAGCTGTTTTGAGATAATCCACCTTAAAGTGAGCATCTACAACAGGTAAGATACTGTTTAGTTTTTCCACTTAAATAAAATCTGAACCATCCTTTTGAAAAGTGAATTAACGAGCATCTACAGCACAACCAAGCAGAGAGAAGTGACTGAATATGAACATGTTGCTCAATTCCAAACTCTATATTTGCAACTGGTATTTATTGCTCAAACATCTGATTATTATTATTATTATTATTATTATTATTATTACTACAGGTAAAATAAGCAGTACAACGTCCAAACAAAGCGGAAGAGAATGCAGCTGTGGCCGTGACAGACAAACAGAAACATAAACACAGAGTGCGACAGCAGAGCGTGAGGTCATTCTGTGAGGAAACGTAGATTAATCACTCCTTTACCTCTGCGGGATTATTCCAGACTGAACGCTGAGGTCAACTAGCTATGAGAGTTCTTTAAAACAAAAACAAACACAAACGATTGTTACTACAAACACTGGGTCAGAACAACGTCAGACTCCTAGCTCGCCCTCCCTCRTCTGTAGGAAAACATTCCGACGACCGAAACCAAAGACAGGCCGTCAGAGACCACAAACCACTTTGGCACCGTGGAAAACTGGACGTGCAACTCTGATCCGGGGTGGGCTCTAATCGCCCCGCAAATCTGTCTTCCTGCTCTGCAGGCAGCGGGTGAAGCAGAGATCGATACCTTTGTTGGAGAGGCGCCTTTGTTTTCCCATAGACTCCTCTTGTTGGTGACATCGACYGGTTTCAGGTCCTGTCGGAGCGGATGGAAAAAGACAAGAGGCAGGGACAGAGTGAGGCTCGGCGTGGACGTGTGTGAGTTATGATGCAACGTCGGCCTTGTGTCTTTAAGATGGAGAGGAGGACGGATTTCTGGAGGGGTTTTAAGACACTCCATCACAGTGCAGAGTAATCATCAAAAACTATTTCTTTGTTTCAGATGTACAACCATAACCCCTAAACCAGAGGTTCTCAAACGGGGGTCCGTGAGAAATATCTTGGGGGTCCTCAAAAAAATTTCACAAAATTGTTAATTTGGTTTTTATTTTTAAAAATGTATGGAGAACAATGAACTAATAAAACAAACATAATAGACTAAATAAAACTATAAATGTGAGCCATCACATCGAAACGAGTATTAAGTCCAAAAGTGGGATGTGGAGAAATATAGGGTTTTGATTTAACGTTTGCAAGAATTGCATTATATCAAAATATAATGAATTACTTCCTTATCAATGAATCATTTGAATGAACTGTCTGAAATATAATCCTAAAAACATTTTTGAAGCATTTGTTTGAGCAGTAGCAACAAAAAAACCTGATTTTGAATTTTTCCCTGTGAGCTAACAATGATTTTGATTCTTTCCAACTTGGAAATCTTAATATGCAAATAATATTTGAGGTTTATTCTTTATATTAAAATAAAAAAATTACTCCATAAATTAACATAAAATTAGGATTCAGACCAAACATCAGAACCATCAAGACTAATTAAGTCATATCTCTGGATAAGCTGATGATATCAGGACGATCCAGGTATCAACATTTAGCTTTTAAAGCCAGGAATCTGAAAATGGAATTAGGTCATTTTGACCAAATTTGACTTAATCCTCATGTCGATATGATGGGTCACATATTCCCATGGAATTTAGGGGTTGAAATGAAAATAAATTTTCTTTTAATGGATGGGTTTTATGAGGGGGTCCCTGGAATTTTTTTCGTCATTGTAAGGGGTCCCCAGACCCAAAAGGTTTGAGAACCCCTGGTCTAAACGATGGAACGAGTTTGTTTCCTTCTGTGTACATGGCCTCTTCCTTTAACAGGTTAGAATGAGATTAATGTCTCAGCCCACCTTACTGTCCTTAAAATAAATAATTTCCTTCACGTTTGAGAACTTTTGTCAGGATTGTGGATGTATCCTCCTCCTCCATTAAATTTAGTTTAAACTCACTGCAAACATGTTAGTGGCCACCAGGGGGAGCCATTTCAATYTGTCAATCTGGCTTTTATTTCAACCCACTTTTTATTGAAAAGGTTAAACTAAATGTCAAAATGCACCGCTTTAAACTACTTGTAGTAGAGCGAAAATACCCCCCCCCAAGCAGTGATGTAATGAAACAAAGTGAAGTGTTGGACAGGAAGTGATGTCGTTCACACCAACAGATAAATGACGGAGAGGACGTGTTTCCTGCCGACAGCAGCAGGGTTGGTATGGCGTCGACCTACCGTTGGCCTTCCTCCTGACGTCTTGCCACTCTCTGGGGTTTTGCTCAGCCAGTCGTTGATGCGGCCCGCCACGCCCGTCTTTATCACAGCTGCTTCCTGTTTGGACACAGTCAGAGGTCATCCCAGCCTCTTTTTTTTTGTTTTTTTCAAAGTTTGGGCCTGTATTTTTTTTCATTTCCACTTTACCTTAAACACGCTGCCGCCGCTCCCAGGTGAGCCGAACACGTCGCCCTTCTCCCACATGCTCTTGATGTTCCGCACGTCGGTGACCAGAGGGAGGTCTGAAGCCGCGGAGCGAGGAGGCCGGGACTCCTTGTTTTCTCTCTGCGGGGACGAAGAGGACCAAGACAAAAGTGACAGACGGCCGGTCGGCAGCTCAAACACGTCTCAACGGGACGCTTCAGTCGGGTTTCATATAAAAAGTATGAACATCTCAACTGTTTACAGCTTTTTAAATAAAACCAAGTTGAAAACTAACAGAGTGCTACAGCTAACTGCTGTCGCTATTATCGCTTCATGCAAATAACTCTGCACACGACGGCAARGTAAAAAGGTTTACAGGAGTTTTATAATAAATCGCTATAAAGACGGCAGCGATCCAGTTCTGCCCTGACCCCGCCCTGACTAGCCATTAGCTCATCAATCCAGGCAGAGGGAAGCGATTCAAGAAAAACCAAAACCACAAGAATTATGTTCCGTTTAAAAAAACACTTTTTTTTTTTTAGAAAATTTATCATTGCAGTCAGTTTTGTACAACATGATTATTTTGAATTCTGTTTGTTGCTTGCAGCAGCAGCAGTTGACTGTAGCACTTCTGGTGCAGACTTGACCACTTCGACCAGAAAAATACTTTATGCCAGCCGGTTTGTTTTTGTAAATGTTATTGTGGTTTTTGTTTGCTTATTTGGAATTTTATTTTGTATTTTAGTGTTAAAAACTAATAAAAAAACAAAACAAAAATCTCTCTCATATATATATGTATATATATGTATGTATGGGTATGTATGTGTGTGTGTATATATTTATGTGTGTATATGTATGTATATGTGTATATATATACATATACATATAAACATATACATATATATACACATATACATATACATACATATACATACATATATATACACATATAC